GAGTGCCGCACTGTCAGAGGGTCAGTACTGAGGGAGTGCTGCACTGTGGCCAATATTGATATCAACAGCACTGAACATCTGACCAATTATTATTTTGCTGCTTGTGGGATCTTGCTGTGCAAAAACTGGCAGCCGTAAGAGCAAAGACCAGACTTCACATGAACCTTATTTGTGTTTATACCCTTTTGGGCTGTTCTGACATTGTGAAAGGTGCTAGAGAAATGCACGAAACTCTTTCAATTTGTTGACTGTCCTGTTCTGGAGGTGAATAGTGAAGCAGCCTCCAGCTAAACAGCCCCCCCAAAGGGAGGGAGCACCCCCCCCACAGGGAGAGAGCAGGCCCCCAGCTAAACAGCGCCCCCACAGGCAGAGAGCAGAAACCACACCAAACCAAAGAACCAGATCTATCTGAAGCACCACTTGCTATGACAAAGCCAGCCACTAGGAGGGGATAGTGTATCATAAATAAACCACCAAGGTGAAACTGAAAAAGCTGGGAATGAAAGATTGGAATTTGCTGAAGTTTTCAATAATAGGTCTGTTTATACTGCAGTCAGCTGGAATGAGCTTTAAAACAGACTTCATACACAAAAAATAAGAATTCCAAAATAAGCCCCGAGAATGGATTGTCAGTTCGAGTCTGCTCACAGGGTTTTGAAAGTTTGTTCTCACTGACACAGATAGCTCCAAACTGATAGCAGAAAACTTTAATTGTACTGAGTATTTTATTCCACGAGAATGAGTTATTAACCCCATCAAACACTCCCAGGACAGGGACAGCACAGGGTCAGATACAGAGAACACTGTGGACCTGTTGTGGTGCAGAATCTAGAGTCTTGTATTTATTAATTTATTGGATAATGGAACAGGAGGAGTTTATTCAGTACATCATTTCTGTGTTATCTCTTTGAAAAGTTGATTGAATCATTCTTAAGGGGCAATGTGTCAAGTTTGGGACAATGCAGCGTCCAATGCAATGATTTTGAAACATTTGGCCCAAAATCCTGACATTTCTCATCAATTCTCCAGCAGGGTCAGGGCCAGGGTCAGGGTCAGGGCCAGGGCCAGGGTCAGGGTCAGGGCCAGGGCCAGGGCCAGGGCCAGGGTTAGGATTAGGGTGAGGGTGAGGGTTAGGGTTAGGGTGAGGGTTAGGGTGAGGGTTGAGTCTGTTAGGGTGAGGGTTAGTGTTAGGGTTAGAGTCAGGGTTAGGGTTAGGGGTAGGGTTGAGTCTGTTAGGGTGAGGGTTAGGGTTAGGGGTAGGGTTAGGGGTAGGGTTAGGGGTAGGGTCAGGGTTAGGGTTATGGTCAGATCATTGGGTCTGCTGCTTTTCTTTCGGCCCATGTTCTGCATAATTGCCTTTGTGAGAAAATGATATTGTTGCCTTTCATCCTTGCTACGTTACAAATCATTCTGAATGTCTATCCAATGTGTAGTGATGACTGATATTCTGTGAATTTCCTGTTCGGGGAAGTCTTGTGATTTGTTTCATTCCTGAAGAGTACCATTAGCTCATGTTTATTTGATCCTCCTCTTTGGAATATTTAGTTTCTCTGATCTTTTAGTTTTGTTTTTGGAAAGAATGAGTACCTTGTGTTTGTTAGTGAGGGTGGATAATTTGGTCAGAGTTAGTTGGTCCAGTGAATGTAAGTGATGGAATCAATGAGACCCAGTGAGTGAGAGTGAGGGTGAGGGTCTGTATCAGGGCTAGGGTTAGGGTTAGGGTCAGTGTTCAGATAGGGTTAGGGTTAGGGTTAGGGTCAGGGTCAGGGTCAGGGTCAGGGTCAGGGTCAAGGTCAAGGTCAAGGTTAGGGTTAGGGTTAGGGTTAGGGTTAGGGTTAGGGTTAGGGTCAGTGTTCAGATAGGGTTAGGGTCAGGGTCAGGGTCAAGGTCAAGGTCAAGGTTAGGATTAGGGTTAAGGTTCAAGTAGAGTCAGGTTCAGGGTTAGAGCCAGAGCCAGGGTTAGGGTTAGGGTTCAAATATTATTTGACGAGTTTGTCAACTTGCTCTACCAGTGACGAAGATTTTATCTGACGAAAGGCAACTTCTCCCTGTTTCTGCCCCACACACAGAACTTGCCAGATTGTTATTAACCCACCATCCCTGTCTCCAAGATGCAACCAGGCGGTGATTACCATTAAAAAAATTTGAATATTTTTGACCCTCAGGCTCAGATTGCTGAACCACTTCTCCTCTTGTTCCCATCATATTTAAATGACTCAGCTCTAAACAGATACTGGTCAAAGGGAGAAAGCTATGTTTAACGAAATGATTGAAGGAATTGGAGGATTAAACGAAGGAATAAAATGCAGATTCCACTCGAGAAACCAATACTGTTTTCAGTCAGTGATATGCACCAAGCTCTCAATCCACACTTCATTGTTGTAAGCACATGGCCAAGTGTAGGCTCTGCAAACCCATTCCAGCTGGATTCCCATCTGCCCCACATTGAGTTTGGGATTTGGGCAGAAAGCCCCAGCAATCATCCCTTTCCTTTTAATTCATTCACAATATGAGGGTAACACTTTAGGCATCATTTATTGCCCAGAGGGTAGTTGAGAGTCAACCACATTGCTGTGGGTCTGGAGTCACGTGTAGGCCAGACCAGGTAAGGATGGCAGTTTCCTTCCCTAAAGGACATTAGTGAACCAGATGGGTTTTTCCTCAACAATCAATTCATGGTCATCAATAAATTTGCAATTCCAGACATTTTTTATTGAATTCAAATCTCACTATCTGTCGTGGTGGGATTTGAACCCCAAATAGTTACCCAGGTCTCTGGATTAACAATCCAGTGATAATACCACTAGGCTATCACCGCCCCTCAGGGGACCCTTTATGTCCAGCTCCCAGTGAACCAGTTGCAGGAAAATGGGTCACCTTGAGGAGGGCATTGTCAACCAACCGGGGAGAGAGGAGAGGTTCAGGCGGAGAATAATGGATTGATTCTTTCCATCCAGAACATGGGTTAGGCTGAGGCATTTATTGCACATCCCTAACTGCCCTGGAGCAGGGGCTGGTGAGCTCCCTTCTTGGGCAGCAGCAGTGTTTAGGGTTCACAATGGCTCTGTTAGCGAGGGTCCTCGACGGTTTCGATATTTAGAGTGTAATGATCCCAATTCATGGCCTCACCTCACAGTACACCCTCACTATATCCCCAATCCATGTGACCCTTTTATTAATAGCGATTAGAATAGCCCCAAAGAGATTCCCATCTGTCACCTCCTCCAGCCCCTATAACCGCTCCCTATCTCTGTAACCCCCTCCATCCCCTACATCCCCTCCTTATCTCTGTAACCCCCTCCAGCCCCTACATCCCCTCCCTATCTCTGTAACCCCCTCCATCCCCTAACATCCCCTCCCTGTCTCTGTAACCCCCTCCAGCCCCTACATCCCCTCCCTATCTCTGTAACCCCCTCCATCCCCTACATCCCCTCCCTGTCTCTGTAACCCCCTCCAGCCCCTACATCCCCTCCCTATCTCTGTAACCCCCTCCAGCCCCTACATCCCCTCCCTATCTCTGTAA